GGCAAGGAAACAAATGAGCAGCGTCCGGGTCGTCCTGGTCCATCGGAGAGGACAAAAAAGGCTGTTAAGAGGAGCATCGAAATGGATCTCAGATTAACGACTGCAGAAGTGGCCAAAGTTGGTGGGATGAGCCCGAAATCTGTTCAACGGATTCTCCACAGATTAGGTTATCATTGCAGAGCAGCTAGACGGAAGCCCTTATTAAGAGCTGCCAACATAGTCAGACGAAAGAAGTGGGAAAGTGATATGATGACCAAGCTTCTGTACTTTTGGAAGACAGTATTGTTTTCAGACAAATCAAGATTCACTCAAATTTCGGACAGTGGAAGATATGGGTCTGGAGAATGCCTAACCAAGAGTTTTGGCTCAACGGATTGCAGCCAACTGTGAAGCATGGTGGTTTCAGCGTGATGGTTTGGGGAGCTGTTTGGGTTGGTGGTAGATTGAGCTTAGTGGAGTGCATTGGCAACATAAATTTTGCGAAATACGTTGAAATATTGGAGGAAGGACTCTTGCCACTTTATTCCTTGGGTTTCGTGGACAAGAACACAACGTTGTTCCAGGAAGATGGAACACCGTGTCACACTGCTAGAAACACCCAAAAGTGGCAGGAAGAAAATGATTTCCAGAAGTTGCCATGGCCGAGCCAATCTCCTGACATGAACCACAGCAAAAACCTCTGGGCCATACTCGACCGGCAAGTCAAGAAACAACCAAAAAAACCAACTTGGAAGAGCGATCTACTCCACATTTTGAAGCAAGAGTGGGCGAAAATTCCACAATCTAAAATTGACGAGATGATTCTCACGATGCCCCAAAGGATCAACGAACTCCACAAAGCGAAAGGAAGATCTACTAGATATTAATTAAATTATAAATATATCAATTCATGTGAATATGACTGAAAAATTTCATTTTTTCTGAAAAGGTGGTATCTATTTACTTGTCACCACACTGTGTATATGTTTTATATATATGAATTTTGCATTGAAGACTATACTTCTGTTTTGAAAGCGATTAAAGCCATGTACCAAGTTATTGTCATATTTCACTTAAAAGTACTTGATCTCCTTTGCTTATGTAAGTTTTCCACCATTTATACATTCCACAGTTACAAAACCATCCTCTGACAAAACAATTACCTCAAATTATTCAAGTACGTAGTAAAGTAATAGTCAATTAGTCTATGATCCAAAGAAATTATAACTACTTCATTTCTGATCATTTTTTGATTCTAGTGAAAAAATGATAAGTTATTTTTCTTTTAACTGAAACTTTCAAAAAATTTATTTCAAGCGACTAGATGATAGTTAATGGCAACTACAATAATGCAAATTTTACTGGTTAATAGAACATTTGAATGAAAGTAGTAACATCTGATTGACATAACATTTTAAATAGTTGTCATCTGTGAAAGTTTACATAAACCTACTTAAGGGCTATCTGTGCTAGCTGTTCCTAATTTGAAGTAATAAGGCAGCTAGCCAATGCCACCCACTGCCAACACATGGGCTGCTCTAATCAAATAGTGAAATTTGATCCTTACTCTAATAATGGACCCACAATCCAAGTTTGGAAGCACAATTTTTTTTCTTTGGCTATAATGAGGCACGAAGCATAAAACCTCAGATCCACAGTCTGGCACTTTAATCATTGGGCTGTTCTTGCCTCACATTTAAAATGGAGAGACTGGTGGTGAGTGAAAAACTTACTTCTCTTTAAATGCTAGACAGGAGATAACTGAACTAAGTTATTGATTTGGAAGAGTTAATTTGGCTGAAGTAAAAACTGATAATACCCAAGAAAAATATGCATAATTAACATGACTGACATAAAATAATACAGTATTGAATACAGATGACTAATGTGACTAAAATATATCATTAGCATGGCTCTTTGTCTTAAAAATAGTAACTTGATTAATACTGAACTAAACACAATATAAATGAATGGATTGTCTGACAAGGACAACATATAAAAGTTGAAAAGCCTGACAATTTAGAAAATTCAATACATGAAAAGCTAAAATAAATAAAATACTAAATTGTAAATGTTCAAAGAAGAATAAATAATGCAACTTTTTATCAAATAGTCATAAATTTTAATATTTCTACAATCAAAGAAAACATCTCATTTAAACTTCTCAAGCAAAATCCTAACTAAAACAAACATTATACATAGTCAAAGCTGAAAAGAGGTTTTCTGTCTACAAAATAGTACATTTTTATAGTTCTCTAAAAAATTGTATATTTAACATAACACTGTCCACTACGAACATAATTCATATTTACAAAGTAACAAATTTGTTCTTTTAATTACAAATGCATATCACATTTCATTATTTTTCATAACTTTCTAAAGAAATAATTTTCGTGACAAAATACATTTAGTGAAAGATAAAAGTAATTATTTTGACAAAAGTATTTAAAATACATTTTGTTCAAAAATGTGTAGTATCTGTTACTATACATATTAACATTTGCATAGCTTAAAAAATGTCAGAAATAATTTTGTTATTCGATTATTACTTTCTTTTCACTATTTAATTATAAAACTATATAAACCTGACACCAGCAAAGAGATTTTTTTTGTATCATGTGTTGAAACCTTTTTGTAATTGCTTACAAAAGACATAACTCAAAAATCCCATGAAATGTTTTTATGTACTATAATATACAGCTTAATAAATTTTCAACTTAAGAAACAGAACAAGTTCATACCAAATATGGATAAATGTAATTTTATTGACCATAAAATTAAAATTATAGTGTAATTGTCTCATAGTATCATATTTATAAAGCTGAAAGATTTTTTTTTACCACTGAAACCAAATTAAAAAGATTTAGACAACTTAAGAAAAACAAACTTTCATGATTGAAAATAATCTCTTTCACAAAGTAAGAATAAATATGTATTTCTTGCATTGGTAACTATCTCACATAGATAAGATTGTCTTTCCATTTATGTTGCTAGATCATACTAAAATATTACTATTATTATGATCTTTGTGTTTTCGAAAGCAACTCTTAATTCGTTTCGATTGTTCAAATAAATATTTTTTGCTTCTGTCTCTATTTATTGATGAAGAAGGACCAATTTTTCCAGGTGATGGAGATTTTTTTACCTGGCCATTGGGCAACTGTTCATGCTTGTTTTCCACATTATTTTGGACATACATCTCTACCCACACTGGACAATGCCAACTTATGAGCCCACCTAGCATCCATCCATTAGGTATAGCAGGGTGACATAACCCATCATGAACAACACCCCAGTGTCCTAACAAAACATTAAAGTAATAACTTAATAAGCATTATCTCCAAAATCAAACCATAAATAGTGCCATACTACAAACTTTTATGAGTACTTTTCTTTGTAACTACTCAAAATATTTTAATCAAACTGTAAAAATGTTATTAATTAATTTCTACTGTATGAACTACAGTCACAGTTGAAAAGACTATCAAACATATTACAACCCTAGGAAAAGAAATGTATAATAATAATACAAGAAAGCAATCAGTAATTGAATAAAAAATAACTGATGGATATAACTCATTTTACATGTAACCTAATATCTATGTATGTAATGTAAAAAACAGCAAAAGTCTTACTGGCCACAAAATCCAATTTTCATTTGTAAAATTTCAGCACCTAAAGTAATTAACTCATTTCTGTTTTAGCATTATTAAAAGCAGCTTGAAGACAAACACGAGTCTACTTTTTGACTTATGAAATATGAATTAAACCTTAAAAACAGATCAAAAGTATTTGATTCTTCTCTTTTGGGTCTAATCGACAGTACCACTGGTTATCCTTAAAATTATACACATCAAAATTTCTCACAGTCTCACTTACCTTGGTGTTTTGTGGCTGAATATAGGATAGCCGTGTTTTGTTTTATGTGCTTACTACTGATCAAATATTAAAATTTTCACAACATAATGTACTCCTAGTGTTTGGATTTTCACTTTTGTAAGTTCCACATTTTACAAAGATGAAGTGTGGTATTCTCAAGTTAAATTGATTTCCTACAAGAGTATTAGGTAGGTTCTGCATTATAACAGGAGAATTGATAGGAAAAATTATGAAGTGATGTTGAATTTTTAAGCTAAAATATAAAAGAGATTGAACATTATCTGTAATACGAAATAAAAGCAATACTTATTTATTCAATAACACAAAAACAGACTTGCATTTAGACACTAGGAGCAGTTGCTTTTACTGGACTCATGAACTGATTAACAGATTTTCTTTCCTCGAGATGTCTTTCCATCAACCAACTCACTTAGGTTCCCATGTATACTGTTAAATCTAATGTTTGTTCTTAATGTGAAATGTGAGATTTATCAATAGCAACAGAGTGGTCTTATTGCTGCCCTTTGCATCTACTGAAGTTTTAATTGTTGCATGAAAAACAATAAATCACAGTAGAAGCCTTTGCTGTTTCCCGTAGAGCTAGTTTAAACTATGTATAATTGTAAGGATTTATGTTACACACTTACTGGAACTTTTGAAATATTATATGTATTATTTTACTGCTGTTTTATACATTTTTATATTTTAGTTATCTTTGTCAAACATATACCCATAGAAATAAGAATTTATAGCTTGCTGCATAATCCACCTGGTTTGCACTCGAGTAAAAACTGAAGACATTCTTCCTTAAGCTTTGTTTAGTCTAAAAAATTTTGGTGTCCAAAGCATAAGTAATGTAGCTTTAAAATATGCATTTTAGAACACAATTTATATATTCATTCACTTGAATACAATGTTCCAAAACTACTATAATTTATTCAGCTTTCTCAATAAGCTATAAATAGATTACAATTGCCAAAACTTCTTGAGCTTTCATAGCAGAAAAATTTGGCTGACTAACTGCTCATGATAGAAAAACTTTAGAACATCTCATAAAATTTATGTTGAGGAGAATCTGCTGTATTTAAAGATTATAATGAACCACTAAAGTTGCTAAGTACTGTAGGCATGGAATCAAAATAGGGATTTGTGCTTGAGAAAATAATGTAGACATTATTTCCAGCCTAATTTGTTTACTTTTTTAGAGTCCCTAGTTGTAGGCTTGAAAATATAATCTTTGCATTTTGATTAAACTTGTTTCTGTACTTTTGGATGATCCCTATTCCCCTTTTTAAATTAAAGTTTTTAATTACCTTGTAAATGTGTCCCACACAGAGTTGATCAGAAAGCAATCTCATAAGTTAGAAAGAGAGAGAGGGGAATTTCTCTGATAAATATAACAAATTCATTGACATCTCAGCAAATCAAAAAGGTGGGAAGTTCAAATTTTAAATTCTTTCTTGTAATTATGTATAGTTTGTGTTTCTAATTGATTGGAAATAGTAAAAGCCTATTATTAAATTTAGGAAATTCTGAACTCAAGAAATCAGAACATAGACATGTCACAAGTCAAAGAAAACTGAAAATGTTTAAAATAGTTCTTTTCAAAATTAAGAAGTTCAAATGTAAATAATAATTGTATATTTGAATTACAGACTAAGTTTTCATGCAAAATATATTAACTTACATTGATAATAAAGTTGTTTTATAAAATTTTGAATGTAACATAGCACTAGGTCATGACATGCACAAAAGAGCCAGGTCTAGATGTGAAAGGTTAAAACAATCTGATACACATCTATTAAAGTTCACAGTGGTTTAATAATACACACATATATCAGCATTATTAACTTAGTTATAAACCAAGATTTTTGTTTGTTTGTTGAATTTTGCACAAAGCTACTCAAAGGCTATCTGCACTAGCCTTCCTTAATTTAGAAATGATAGACTAGAGGAAAGACAGCTAATCAAAACTACCAACTGCCAACTCTAGGGCTAACCTTTTCCAACGAATAATGGGATTGACCATCACATTATAATGCCCTCATGACTGAAATGGCATGCATGTTTGGTGGTTGGATTTGAATCTGAAATTCACAGATTGCAAGTTGAGTGTCTTAACCATCAGACCTATAAACCATGCTGTCAACGAATGGTAGCTTATGCTCACAAACTAATGTTTGTAGGTAAATGATTAAAAACATTTTTTTAATTGATCAACTTGCTTTGTTTCATTAAAAATTTCGTAGTTTTATACATCCCACAGCAATATTCCAATCAGGTACATTTTTTATGATGACACAAAAAAAGTTATCAATTATGGTACTAAAGGTAACTCTGCATCATTATTTAATCATAAAAAGATCTATTAAACTTTAAAACATGTTTCTTCAGTTAGAAACGACAACATATTGATAAATCACATCAAGAGAACTCTTTTATTTCATATCATAGTTTACTGATGTAAACAAATGTATGATTCTGCACCCAAACTAACAGTGAGTACTGAATCATCAAAGTACAAATTTTGAATATTAGAAAAGAATGCACAACAACTTTAAGAATGTATTTATTATCAGTAAATGGCTCAAGGGAATGGACACGAACCTGAGTTAACTTATCTAAATATATGCTAATATGTGACATAACAGGTCTAAACAGACAGTCTGTCTTTGAATATTTTGGAAACCTATAAAATATTTTGCTACTTGTGTGACAGTAAATCAAAGCTTTTTAATATAATTTTCTTAGTGATGACAGATATCTTCACAATTTTCTTTCACATTTTACAGTTGGCTAAATGTCCCTAATTTTAATTTATCTTGTCCTGTTAAAAATATGAAATGGCTTGTTTGTTAATATAATCTTGTCCTCAAGTTTAATTTAAAGTATTTTAATTTGGTCTTCAGTGGTATTTTTATTAAAACATTTAAAATTCTCAATACAACATATAATTATCAATTAAGTATCAAAGAAGCTATTCTTATTCATAAAATCTGGTGCATCTTAAATAAAAACTTCAATGCTGAGACGCTGCTTTTAACCAAATAAAAAGACAAATCTGCCCTCCAGTGTCTTAACAGTAAGTTTGGGGGTTTATAATGCTAAAAATCGAGTTTCAATACCTGTGGTGGGCATAGCACAGACAGCCTATTGTGTAACTTTGTACCTAAGTAAAAACAAACTATACCATAAATGCAAATAAAAAAGATGTTGAAAAATAAAGCCTCAACAACAAACAAACAAAGACGAATCTACTCAATTTATAAAATAGAACAGCATGTGTTCCATCCATTTGAGACCTCCAAACGATCACAAACATTAAACAATGTTTTAGCTTATTACAAATATTCCTAATTTAAATATTTACAAGGGTAAAAAAGCAAGCATAGAAAAGGAGATATTTCTTTCAATCTGGAATAGAAGAAGCATCTTTTAAATTTGATTGAGCTTATAAACATTAGAACTGAACCATACACACCTGTAAAACTTCTTTTAAACTCATCATTTGCCCAACAGTGAGAATCTTGCTCCTTTGTCTTTAAGTTGGTAACTGTGTTAACTGGAATCAAGTGACTATAATGGCAATTGGTTAAGACTTCCAATGCTGAAAAAAAAATATATTTTTTATTTATGTTTCATCAAAATGGATTTAATTAACACAATAGAAACTCCACGAACCATCCTAGTTGGATGAACACCTAAAGTACCATTATAAAATACTCAGGCTCATATGCAGAATGTTTGAAAGGGGGTTCTAATTTGTAAGATCAAAAGCCAACAAATATTGTGCAATGCACAATCAGCATTTAAAGCATGCTAATGCTATGGAGGTCTGGGGGCATGCTCCTCCCCCAGAAAATTAGATTAAATCTAGAAGCAATTTTGCATGAAATACAGCTTAAACAATTGCATAGCTGTTCATATAAAATCCACAAATATCCAAAGAAAATACAACAAATCATCATTCTGTTGTAACATTGAATGGGGAACTAGACTTCAATTAGCATATATACATGTTTTGTTGTAGTAAAGTACTGTACTATCTACATACATAATAGTTATTAATTGTTAAATTATATTACTAACTTAACTCTGTACAACAATAGTATATCAGCAATTTCAATCATTGCCTATCATATACGTATATGTATGAACTACTGAGATAACATGTTAGCATGCTTCATTCTTCTGGGGTGTTTTTCCATAAATAACTTGCATACAGTTTCAATGTTGATAGCAGTGTCATAATGATTATGTATTAATGCTAGAGCACTCAGTCTTTCTTCAGTTTGCACACACCTCAGGTAAGCAGCAGAGAGCAGATGCCGAACCTTCACATGAACATGGTAGTGTGGCAAAGAGTTTCAGTAACATAAAGATATTTGGTACACTGTAGCATGTTTTTAAGCAGTCAACCAGTATCTGGGGCTGTCCTGGAGAGGTATAGAAAGACATCTTGTCTTCCATTGATGAAATTCATCATCAAAAATATCAGGATTTGGCAAATCTTCCCTGCACAAATCATGTGTAGCTGTTTCAGTTTAAGTTTAATGTGAGTATTATGATTTAGATTAAAAAAGATTAAACTCTCAGACAATGAGGAGTTCACTCTCTCTAGCTGTAACTTCACATCACATGCTGAACCAGAGCTTGGGATGGCTAAAGCTGTTGGACACAACAGCACCAATTATTATGACCATTATGACAGCTTTTAGTGGAATAACCACCATTACAAGCTACAAAACATTGAGATGGATCACTCAAAATCAACCACACACAAATTGGAATCACTAATGTCTAAATGAAAACTAAGTAACAAAGTACATCATGCTCAAAATTGAAGTTTTCTGCTAGGTCTATCTAATAACACTCCTATTACTATGAAGGGTCACTCAAGTATTTAAGGTTAACAAATCATCATCCTAAAAAACTTCATTGCAAAAATCTTAGAGAAGGCTGTAGCTACAAGGCTTGTCTATCAGATTGACTCACAATGACCATCAACATTAGGTGGTTATCACACTGAAAGACAAACCTGGATCAATGCTGATGAACTTGCAGATGATACATGGGAAGGCTTTCAGCTAGTCAGAATACCTTGGCAGTAGCTTTAGATCAGAAAGATGCCTATAGTAAAGTCCCTCTTTTCATTCTTGTTGACAAAATTCTCAGAAGAGACATTCAATGGAACATATGTAAGATGTGTTGTAGCTGCACAAACTACCAGATGAAGCATCATTAAGCATGGAACCTGGCAATCAGACTGGATCACCAATAACAGTAGTCTGCTTTTAGAATCACTACTCTTCAACATCTACACCATGGATCTAGACTACCTTGTTAGTCCAACAAGATGCCATAAGATAACCTTTGATAATGCATTCTGGAATACAGCAAAGGCTTTAGCAAAGCAGAAATCAAAAGCAAGATCTAACCATCCCTTAACAGGGTGATCAAGTGTTGCAATAACACAGTAATGGTCATCAATTCTACCAAAGCTACAGCTTTGTTTTGTACATTAAACAACAGACACACAGGTTAGGAAAAACAAACCCTTGCAGGCACTGCAATCCCCTCTAGAAGAAACACTGAAGTAACTGGGGAGTAACCTTTGACAGACAACTCAACTTCACTAGCCATATTAATACTATAATAACAAGAGCTGCCAAAAGCATCAATGCACTGAAAGTTGCAGCAGGAAACAGAATTGAAGAATACCATCTTCTTATGTGCTACCAAAGTCTTATCTGCTCCAACTTAGATTATGCAGTACCAATATCAGTATGAGTGCTATACAACTAGATAAGATTGAAAAAACAAAAAACACCTATTTAAGATTGGTCATTACCCTTTTTCAGTTGGTTAATTCCAGCTCCACAGTGATGCAAAAGACAACAATGAAGCAGAATATTCCCTAAAAGGTACCTCATGAGACACTCATGGGTGGACAGGTGCTATACAGCCACCACCAAGATAATTCATCATCAAAAGATTTCAGATTTTTCAATATGGAACAAACATTTGACATCACTGGAATCTGTAGAAATCAGCCTAGAAATAAAATGTAGAGACTGGGCAGAAAGTGAAGCAGAAAAAGCCTGTCAACCCCCATTTAAAAGACTACATCGGACAGTTACCTCTCATCATAGCCACAGATGGTTCCAACACCAAAGACATTCAAAGATCTGGTTGGATATTCATTACCTTGTAGAGTAACAATTTTTTATATAAAATCTGAAAGCCATAAAGCAAACTCTTTTCTGGATTGCTGAGAGCAAGGAGTCACAAATAGGCAGTGCCATCACATAGTATTAAATGCAGCTGACTTACATGCAGCACCATGTACTTTCAGAGTGATTGGTCCCCAGATGAATGGAAGTAAGCAAAGCAAGTGGATGGTAACACCATCACTTGGAAGTGTGTGCCAGGCCATGCAGGGATATAGCTAAATGGGGCTGCTGAACAGCTCACAGAAGGAGCTCCTTTATCACAATCAGCACAATTCTACTGACAGTATATCAACTTCATCTGTATTAATAAGGTGAAAGCAGTAACATCATAGTTCCTCATCAACATACAGAGAGAACGAGACTGCTGGAAAACAAAGTATAGTATGACATATCTAGGAAAAACAAAAGAACATTGTACAGCCAAAAGGCTATTAGTAACATTAGAAAAAGAACTCTTTTCTACCTCTTGCAAGGAAACCATTCTCCACATGAGATGTCAGTGCATATTGGCACAACCCCTGGAATTGTCACTTGATGCTCAGCAATAACTTAAAAAGTAGTGAGGTTATACTGATGCTGGCTAAAACATTAATATAAGCTGTACAAAGAAAAATCAAAATGGGTATTTCTAGTCTTTTACTAACCAGGATCTGTTGGAGGAAGACAGAAGTCTCCAACTAAGGCAACACATTTTTCACCTGCAAAAGAAGACCAAAATGTTCTAATTAATTTACTTGAATACTTCTGTAAAAATTATATAAAATGAACATTTGATTCTGTCTACTACTGTATATAGCCACCAAAGTTCAAGATATTCTACCTGGTAGGATAATCAAAATATACAGTGTATGAAATTGCATGTGTAGTAGTACACAAACTGTTATTTAAAACAGAATGATGTTTATACTTTAACGTCCAAAATTATGAGTTAGTACACTTTTGTATGTATTAGTGAAAATTGTTTATCTTTGAAAAAAAAAACCATTTATTTTTGCCTGGAATATGAAATATTTTTCATCACCAATAAAAACAGCTGTGAACTTCATTACAAAGTTTATTTTAGATTTACTTGCTTATCAAAGACTACTTCAATATTTTCAAACAGCTTTCTCAAGGCTATATTGAGGAGAGGGAATCAAGCTTTTTTTCTTATAATCAGCTACTCTAACAATGGTCATAGTTCGATGCTCCTTAATTATCAGACTTCATCTTCTAATGAAATATATGTATTACTCTGTTAAGTCAGTTGCTCATTAGAAACCTAAAATATCTTAAGAAATATCTCAATATAGAAATGATTGTAGAAAGTCTTTTAATACCCAGAGAATATTCATTAAAAAACAAACAAGATTTTTAACAAAATCATATTCTGTAGATGATTTAACCATACAAGTTTTAGAAGGTTGTTCATATAAGAGATATTTCATTAAAAGAAAAAAATGCAGTGGCATCATTCAAATAAGAACTTACTCTTTAGTTCATTTGGAAAATACTCCATTAATTCAGTTAATAAATTTCCTATTCGGCTATCAATACAACTGTCCTTCAGGTGATGATTAACAAGTGTGAGCTTCATTCCATCCACCTACATATCACAAAGACTATTAGACGTGTATATTAATAGCAAAAATTGTCCGACTGTAATCTCTAAATTAGGTTTTCTACACGTTCCTATCTCATATAAATACTACACAATTGATTTAGTCAGTGGAAATCTTAAACTCAAAAAGTTAAAGTACAAGGATCACAGTCACTTAAAGAGTAACAGTTGGTAGTTTGTGTTTTTCAAATTTATTTTTCAGCAGCTTTATAATGGGTATAACATAGGTTTATAAAGATACACAAGCAATGTTGATGCATAGTACAAAAGAAAACACATTTCAATAATAAAACTCTCTAGAATAACCCAAATGACATGGTTTTTAAATTTATCTAAGACATCATGTGACATGATAAGTAAGTAGCTTTTATTCTGCTATAAAGTATTTAGAGATGCTGAAGATGGAATGAACAGTTTAAAATACACAGAACAGCAAACACTATTTATGCACAAGTTTTACCAGAAATTTAATATCCCTAAGATTTTCTTTTTTCTAATACATTATCACGTATGAGTTTCAGCTCTAAGAATTTTAAATACATACTTCAATTTATAATTGACTTTTATGTGATAATAACCTTGAGAAGGATTTACAATGTTAATATCTTACAAGTAGCTTGCCTACACAATTTGATCTTTTCTCTCGATATTTTTGTGCCAAATACATAATATCTAATTCTCTCCAGAGCTATTATAGAACAACATATTAGGAATTCCTCTAAATATTTCAAATTAAACATACACCTACATTTATAGGAAAATATATGGCATCTTTGTTTGTTTGTTTGATTGGAATTATGCACAAAGCTACACAATGGGCAATCTTTGCTGTGCCCCAAGTCCCCAGACATACCACTGTGCCAATCAATGGGGGCATGGCATCTTTGAGGCAATTATTCAGAGATTTAATTTTTAAATAATGACCCACTTATTGGAAACCATAAAAATCTTACATAACGAGTAATTTTTCTATCTTTTGTTTGAAATTCTTAATTATACTAGATAATGCATTCACACTAAAAGCATCAAAATTTTATTTTTTGCATCTTTAAATTTCAATACAGAAAGACATACACATAGTTTTCTTTAAATGAAAAAGTGAGAAACAAACCACAAAGTTTCCTATACACAGAGATGGAAGTGGTTGTAAATACTCATCATCATCTTTTGGTAAAATCAACAAACTGGCATCTTGCAGTTCAACACCATGGCTTGTGTCAAACAGAAACCCACTAGACTGGTTACAGATACAATTGTTTGTATTAAATCAATGCTTACTCAATTTTATTACACATGTATAATTATATCATTCAATTGAAATATTCACTTTCAATTTTTATTTAAAATCTTGATACATAAACTTTGTAAAGTGCAATAAAATCTCATCCAAGCAACTGAAGTAAAGAATGAAAAAGCTATTTTGGAAAATATAGGATAAGTTTCCAAAAAGGATCGTATAAACTTCACTAAATTACATTACATTAGAAATCACCTTAGTCTAATGACAGTTACAACAAAGTAGCCAAAAGCTTGATAAAATAAAAGGTATTTCAAAGGGGATTTAGGTGCAGCATTTTTGATTGAGTTTTCTATGCATTTCTCTTGCCATTTTTCAATCCTGAGACAATATTTCAGGCTCTATGTTCTGCCATTCATCAGGTCTGTCTAATGAGCATAACATGAAGCCCAAAACAATGTCTCAAAGTTAAAAAAATACAAATATAAATGATTTTAAACATGGATAACTACAATATACACTTCCTTTTACTTAGTTGCATTACTGTTTAGTTAAGGGAAGAAGGATAATGACAGAATGACTGTTAACTGTTTATGATCATTTAAGGTTATTGATAAGATTAGTTTCTTTAGTGACATTTCTATCATAAACAAAGTTTAATTCTTCTGGTCAATATTGTATAAAATAAAGTTCCATTTGCTTTCAGTTTAGTCTTGTTTTTAAACATATTTTTACTCTATTCAAAAGAGCAAAATTTTTTTCCCTAAAATTTTCAACTTAATATTTTTTCATTGGGTTAAATATGTATTACATGTTATTTAATATTAAATAATTAACACTAAACCCAAAGCTCTTACTGGTCTATACTATTTCACAGATTTATGAACTACGTAACAAAAATTGCTCCTTGTTGTTTATTATTACACAATAATATAAATTATTTTTATAAAAATACTTTACTCCAGTTGAATTTTGCCTTCAATCACAATACAGTGTACAATATATTGGGAATTTTTATTTTCTAAATGAAGAAAGAAAAGATAGATAGAGAGAGAATATTATAAAGTGTTCAGAACTTTCATGGATGAGTGATCTCACTGATAATAACTTACACCAGATCTCAATGGAAGTTCAGGTATGACACCACTCCACTTTCCTTTAACTCCCACCCAACTACGTACCAGCTTCTGTTGGGGATTATTTAACTCAGTCACTAACTGTAAATATACACAAAGGGCATTTCAGAAATGTTGAAATATCTGATTACTGTACACACTTCATACACACAATATCATGGTGCTCATATCATGTTTTATGATATATAACTTTAGAGAAAAATTAAATTTTAAAAACATAAACTTGTGAGAGATGTTTCAAAAAGTTGAATCTCTTGAATTTCAGATTAATATTGACATTTATCTCATTTTTCTGTTAGTTTTTTTTTCTCTGACAAATTCATTTCATTGTGCTTTGAAAAAAGCCCAATATCTGATAGATAATGCCCATCTGCAGTTGAAAAGCCATATCTTATCATATCAAGATATAACTTTCAAGTATTTGATAAATCTTATTTAATGTATTTGTTAAAGAAAGTGTCAATAGTATTAAAGAACAGAACAACTAAAAATAATTCATATTTTAACAATATTGTATTTTTTAATATCAAATTATAAAACTTACTAAGGTAAGTGCAACCTCTGAAGGCACATCTTGTAAGGCAATTATGGTTAGGCTATAGCAAAAGAAAAAAATAATAATGGCATTTTTTTTTGTAGGTATTTAATTATGAATCAATTTTATAATTATTAAGTTCAGAAACTACTAGTACAATGCAGGAAAAGTTGCATCTCTTTTTCCTGTTACAAGTGATTTTTTTTCATAATAATGAAAAATGTTATAAGATATTTTAAAATTCCACATGCAAAATTTTCAATTTCTAACAAGAAAAAATATATAGGTAGAGAATGTTTCTTCTTACTTATAGGTAAAAATTGAAAGTTTTAACAATACTGAATCCAAAAAGCATTTGTAAATTGGTGACAACAGTCGCTAAAACCTGCCACATTTCTGAGAATATTTCTACTCTTTGATAAAATATATTTGGAACAAATATTTCAGAAGATAATTAAAGAATAAAAATAATAATAAAGTTACTGCTAAATAAACATTTCAACTTCTAGATTTGGATATAAAACTTTATCATAACTATGCTAAAACATGCAAAAGCCTCTAGCTTTTTGAGGATCTCTGACCTATTTTAAATACAATAGTAAATCCCTATGATGTCTGAAATGAAAAGGAAGTTCCTGGTATGTGAATTATGGGATTGATTCACACAAAGTGTGACCAACATTAACATCTCCATGAAGAAACACCTTTTGTTAAGTATAAAATAGTAATCTCAACTCACATTATTTTTGTGTTTATCTGGATATAAAGATCATGACATTCTACAAGTGATATAATCAAGAACTGTTGTTTTTAAAGTTAAAGAATTTTGTTTAATGTTACACTTATATGGACCTACATGTTTGCAACTGTGTTTTTCTTGTTGTTTTTACAAATTTGACATCTGGAATGGATAAAATGGAATTAACGTATGTCTGGTAATGACTATTTAGAAATTTTGTGAAGGACCAACCAGAAATTTTGCAAATTTTGGATACTGAAATCAACAAAATAATTTTATTTAAATGAACACAGAATTCAACATAAAATGTTTTACACAATCTGATCCATGAACATTTTTATAGTAATAAAAATAAACATGAGTTTGGTTCTGCTAAACAAAAAATCTTTACCTTAAAGGCTTATTAATGCTTTTCACATAAGAAATTCAGAACTTCCAATATTGTATAAAAATGAAATCCAACACATTCTTTTACATATTAAGTGTATCAATCCAAAGCTTGAACTATTAAGAATAAATAAATATATACCATATGGATAAATACATGTACTTGTAGGTTTGAAAGAAAAGTGAAAGGTAGAAGGTTAAGGTGCCAAAAAATGATGAAGATGTAAGAAAAGTATCTTGGCTTGAGGAAACAAATTTCATAAAAGACACATTGTGAATAAGTTTTATTAAGGAAAGTTTGGACATAAAGCACTAGTGTTTTAAGAACCATCACAAAATATATTCAGTGTGTTTATAGAGGTAGTTAAGTATCAGTGGGGTTTCAACTTGGTTATGAACTAATGAAACATAATTATACCATTTGGAGAGTTATATACAGAATATTTAGTCAATACCATGCACAAACCTTTGGTTTGATTGTTTAATATATAAATTTATTCTTTTATTCAGCTTCATATTGTAAGCCTATGATATGTTTCTTGTGCTTTAGTACAGTACATCTAGCAGTAATGAATATGCCAGGCTATCTATTCACACACACAAATACATACATACATATTTATATATGACACTTCTGTCCATTGTTAATGCAGATTCATATCGTTTATAAATAGAAAACAGTTAACTCCCTCAGTACACACTATTTATGCAATATTTATTTTCTCTTAAAAGAATTTAAACTAATTTCATCCTATTCCATAAAGGTATTCTAATATTGATGGATTATCCAAGCCCCAACAATAAAGTTAAAAGTAGACACAATATTTTCTGTTACACCCTCATATTGTTCCAAAAATTTGTTTTAAAATAACTTGCTCATTCAGAAAAGTAGTGGTTAGAATGATGTAAGCAATGATCCAATTTCTAGGAAGCTGAGGAGTAGACGAGTTGCAAAGAACACTGTATCTACATTCTTAACATCTTTTAAGGCCTTCACTTCATACCTTTTATTCTTCTCTCTTGTCAAACCTTTTCGTTACATGTAATATATGCTTATAAATTTAAATTTTGAATTGGTTAAAATAACTCCTGATGAAATGAAGTCTATTTTGTATAACAAACTGACTAGAATTACATAGTGTTATAAATCAATACACAAGAAACCAATAATTATGGTAATTGAAAGAAATAAAATCATCAACAATATTTTTAGCAGGTAAGTTAATAATGTTGCATTTGCATTTATATGAGATTTTGGCACTAAATTTTAAAATGTAATTAATCATGATAACCTTTTTTACCATACACATAGACACACAAACATATATGCATGCAAATACTATTAATTGCAAAGCCAAAAATAAGAGTGCATACATATATATACATTATTGGAAATAATTATTGAAATGGTGAACAAAAGGGTATAAAAAGCAAATGCTGTGGAAGTTCCAACCATTTAATGTTTGAAAATGAGCTCCACTAAAGTGCAGTCATATACTGATAGTTTACACTGTGACTGGCTATTACGGAATCAATCAAAAAATGCCACACCAGTATAAAAACTTATAAAAATACAAGCTATCATACTATGTTCAGTACTAATGTGATTCCAGCAACGGCTCCAGTATCTCAAACTGTACATGACAAATGTGTAGAAATCAAAGTTTTGGCTGGAGAAGGATACTCCATGTGAAAAATTGCCAAGACTGTATGTTTCAGGAAGAGCTGTATGGAAGGCACTGAAAATGGTACATGAAACTTGCACTGTTCACAATAGAAGTAATCAACATATAAAACTGAAACTCTCCAAAAGTGATACTATATATCTGAGAGCATGTTCTTTACAAGATAAAATGACTTTGCTGTAAATATAGGAAGAAGTGTTACCACAAGAACAGTAAGATACACATTAACATGAAGTGCAGTACCAATGGACATGTAGCTGCTTGAAAACTACTGCTGAGAAAAAGTAACCACACCAAAAGTTTGAAATGGGCATTGGACCATAAACACTGAAACGAGCAAAGCTAGAGAAATATGCTCTTTAAAGATGAATCCAAGTTTGAATTGTTCAGCATCAGTTCATGACAGTTTGTTCAACAGTAGAGAAGAGCACAGTATAATAGCTAATGTATAACATCTAAAGTGAAGTCTTGGGCTGCATCTCAGCCAATGGTGTCTGTGATCTGCACAGAATCTGTGGTACCCTGACTGCTGATCCTTTTAAGCATTGCCAATCCTCAGGAACTTGACTCGTTGGGAAAGAACTTATCTTCTAACAATAACAAGACAATGTTCCCAAGTTTACATTTTATTTGAAATGATGTCTTGACATTAAAAAGATCAATGGAATACTCACAACCATGGCTTGGCTTACACAAAGTCCCAATATGAACATTCTTGAGGCTATATGGACTTATCTAAAAACTGAGAAGGTCAAAGGATGACAAAACAACTTGAATGAACTGTGGAAAGTAATAATACAACATTTTGAACAATATTCCACAATCATACCTTATTGTAGCATGAAATCAAGGTGTAATGTTCTATGTAAAGCAAAGAGCTCACATGCAAAATACTAAAGCATTATACAAGTTATTTTCTGTGTTAATGTTTTGAACAATTAATAAATTCACCATTTAGTTGTTGTTACTTATTGTTTTTACTCCAATATGTTTATCACTTGTGTATTTCAATAATTATTTCCATTACTGTATTTCACTCTTGTTAGAAAAGATATCCTTCTATTTATTACTACTTTGTTCAATCACATATAAGTTTAGTCAAAATTCAAATGTTCATTCATATTTATGTGATCTCATCTTTTCTGTAATTTTTGTTTAATGTAATTGTTACAACTCAATAAAGCACTGTTAACACCATATCTATCAATATAGTTACAGTTAAATAACCTTCTGTTAGTGTACTAGTCACAACTTTCCACATTTGCATCACATATTAAGAAAGATAACTTACCCATTTTCAAGTATTGTTCTACAGATAATTTCCTGGATACCAGGATTGCGAACTTTTTCTACAGTCAGACCTTCTAAGTTCCAGACTCCAATACGTATCACTGGCTTACCATTTCTTAAATAATTAAAAGTTTCTTCTACAATTGGTCGACGGCAATGATCAGAAAGGAAACTGTAAAGATCTTTACTTGATTCATCAAGGTGTCTTATTCTCTCTATATTATATTTACACGGTGCTGACAATGTCCTTCTGTGATTGCTAATTCTGCTTACTATTGTATTTCTACAGCCAAGTGGGGTCCCAGTTGGAAGGGATAAGTTTTCTCCATTTAATGTTGGAGGGTTAACGGTAATAAAAACTCTAATAAAAGCAAGCTTTTGGGGGTTAATCCCTTTTACTTTTAATAAGTCATCCATTGATTTGAATAGCCCTTTTCTTTCTCGATAATGAATAATGTTAGCTGCAATCTCCTGACTCACACCTGGTGCAGTCATCAATTGGAAAACATTAGCTGTGTTGGCATTAATCATTTTTGCTGAAGTTCTAAAGTAACGATGGTTATTCTCTGAAACAGCAAAAGACTCTAGGGAAATGTTCCCAGAAGATGCCTGACTTCCTCCCCTAAGACCTCCCTTACGAGAACCAACACAAATTTCAGGGCGGATATGTTCCAATGTGCTAGCCCCTACTCTGGAGACCAGAGCCAAATCTTCTACTTTCCTGAAACCACCAATAGCTTGTCGATATTCTATAATGTTGTGAGCAATGTGGCGAGTTATGCCTTGGAGTGTCATTAATTCCTCCTCAGTGGCTGTATTGATATTAAGCAAGTCCCACTGCAGGTTATTATCATAAACGTGAAAAGTTGCACTGAGAGGTCTACCTTTAGTTTTGTACAATCGACTACATCTTTCTTCTCTCTCACAACTAACTTCACTCTTACGAACACTCTTGCACTGTCCCATATCTACTTCACTTCCTCATACTCACAAAAATGTGTGCACAAACTTCAAGGAGAACTTTTTTTCTCTACGAAAAAAAAAAGTTGGATAGGATAAAAAAAACATAACAGTGACAATGAAACAAGTACAAAAGAAATAAATACAATAAAATTTTGTAATTTAATGGTTCCATTGTTCAAAGAGAAAACAAATAAAATATTAAATTACAAACACAGTTATTACTTTTCGTTGAAATGAAGAACGCTATTGAGGAAGATAATCCAGCATAATTTGCATGATTTCTTGTTTGTTTGTAATTAAGCACAAAGCTACACAATGGGCTATCTGTGCTCTGCCCACCACGGGTATCGAAACCCGGATTCTATCGTTGTAAGTCCACTGGGGGGCTACATGATTGCATACGTAAGAGTAGTGATATTAAGTGTAGTCCATGGCACAAAAAGAAGATATGGGTTTCAGTTTTTAGGAGAGCTGATGTTAGATCAATTTACATGAATCTTTCTTTCATAGTTGAAAACAATGGCATACTTCTTGTGTTACGTTCTAAAATTTCAATTATATAGTGTATCATGTGAATTCTAGAAAGCCAAAACTAATATATATACGTATACACACACAAACTGATTTGCATAAAACGTATATCGTTAAAAAATAACTTTTTTATAATCATTCACTGTTTTTTTCGAAGATTATTTAGGACTTGTTTACATAAATAATACATCGTCATATGCAGTACTGGTTTAATGCATAGGCTACCTAGGGCCCCGCAGGCCACCCAAGTAAAATGAAAAAAAAAAGGTTCGTACAACTAGTACAACAGAGGCAAGAGTGAGTTATTATTATCATTCCCAAACGTTACCTGGGCCTAGGGCCCCATTAAACTTTAATCCAGCCCTGATCATATGGTTGGATTAATATGGGCATAAAAGTTACACGCAAATAAAATAGTCGTGCTAATAAGGTCTTCCTAGATAAAGATTGATAGAGTGTTTAACTACGAGAACGGTGAAATGGAATGAGGTGTTGGAACCCATAATGGGGACATTTGGGTTTCCCACTGATAACTGGTAGTGGTAAGTTGTCTTTTAACGATATCTCCAAACAAAATTAAGAATTCATACCGTTAAAGTTTTCCATTTCAATGATTTGGGGGAAAAAAAGATGAAATTATCATACTATTCCTACTTCGCTGAAACTATAGCAATACTTAAACTGTTAAAATGTAGGATGTATACTGTAGATAGTCATGTTACAGAAATTCCCAATAATTATAGAAAGAAAAACTATACAATTAAACACAATCCTGAAAAAAAATTAACTTAAAAATAGGAGAAAGGTTTTCCCAATTTAATGTTGGACGAAACGCAGGATAAGGATCCGAAAAATAAGACGGTTAATCACCGCATTAACAAATACTAACCTTGAATTATCGATTACTTAGCGCTAAGACTTAGAGGTTGAAGAAGATAAAACTGTTGACTGAAGTGTAATGTTTACGTTCATTCCTTTTTTTTTTACTATTTATCTACATCTTTAATATTTAGAATACTGTTATAAGCCATATTTTTAATGTTGTAATTTGTTAGTTAGAGAGAATAGTTTGTATGTTTTAGAACAAAGCCACATTGGGCAATCTACTGTAAGTAATCGAACCCTGGATTTTGGCGTCGGAAGTCAGTACACTTACCACTGTCCCACCAGGAGACTAGAGGGCATAGAATACCTAGAAAATTCCAAGATTTGACGTCAACTTTTGTCATATCACATTCGAAAGTAAATTATAAATAAGTCATTCCGTAAAGGAGTTAGGTTAATTAGAAAGAGAGTTGAAATATAGTCACGAATAAAGCAGACAGAGTTATATCAGGATAGAGCGAGAGAGATTTCAAGGAAGAGAGTGAACTAGTAAATGTGTAAGCTATCTCGGTAGGTTATTTGTAGTAGTTAATCAAGTCATTTGTAACGTAGGCCGACAGAAATTTACAGCAGTGTGCAAGTGTTTCAGTTTGTAGAAACGTTAATTATGTGTTTCTTTTGAAGCAAAGCCACGGAGGGCTATCTATTGTGTCCACCAATTGGAATCGAACATCGGATTTTAGCATTGTAAGTCTGTAAACTCACCGTTGTCCCACCGGGGAGAGAAATGTTAAAGGAGGAAATAACGTGATATATTTTTGTTACATAGACTGGATATTGAATTATCACCAAATAATTTAAAAGAACAACGTTAAAACAATACTATAAGGTGAAAACTATACTAAACCTACCAAAAGAGTAAAAATCTAGGAGAAATAAACTTTTGGAATAAACAAAGTAACAAATTTTGCTGTAATACACTTGCAACATTGTACATTCTTTAAGAATATTCGAATCTTGCAATTTTATTTAAACTTCTATTTTTTATAGTCTTCGAAAAAACGAAATACTATTTGAAAAAGATTTTCATAAACAATTAAAAGATCACAAGTAAAAAAAAATCGTTTATTACCTTAGTTCTTTATATGTCGAGTTTCGTCAGAATATATTACTGCGGTCTATGCTAAGGTTGCTTTCAGATTAAAATTATTTTTAAATTACAATTTGAGATTAAAATTGTCGATTACGAAGAACTACGTCCGTTCGTGTAGGCTCGCCCCCCAGTGGCACAGTGGTATGTCTGCGGACTTAAAACGCAAGAAAT